CAGCCTTCCCATTGGGATAAAACACGTGCCATAGGCTCCGTCCCACAGCCTGCCCCAGGAGAGGAGCTCCTGGGGAGGGGGAGAGGCACAACCTCCCTCAAGGGTGAGCTGATGGTTATGGATGCAGCTGAGACCTGGTCAATGTGGTGTATCCCATCTTGCTTCAGCTGTACCTCTTGGTAGGTATAAATATATATATATATATACGTCTAAATAATGGTATTTATACACACACACATGTATATATATATATATAAAAATAAAGGTATTTATACCTTACTAAAGTTGTAGTAATGGTGGAAATAGTCCCTATGTGCTGTGGGAGGGGTCTCCTGTGAGTTAGGACAAACCTGCTCCCATGTCCTGTCCCCTACCATGGTTTGGGTGCTGTGGAATGAAGATTGTATATAGAGTCCTTGCTGCAAATAAAAAGCCATCTCCTCGAGTGCACTGAGGATAAACACCCTGTGGAGCAATGTGCCATTCCCAGTGTGCCTTCCTCCCACATCAGCTTTGCACACTGGTGCCATTTAAGATTTAACAGCTGCTTTTATGATGCTCCAGTGTCCACTTTGTGCTCCCCCTGCAGAATCCAGCCCATAAACTGGGCTATTGATTTCTCCAGCCACCTACAGATACCCTTTTAATTAAGCCCCCCAGGAGAACCCAGCCCTGCAGCACACAGCATTGCCTTCTCCTCTGGTCTGAACTGGGATGCTTTGGGCTGTCAGTTGGGCATTCACCCTGGAGAGAGGCAAAACTCAATGCTGGGTCTTTATTAAAGGTTGTCATTTATTTAGATGATGGATATCTCCTTTATTTCAAACAGAACAGTTTATTCACTGCAAAGTTGTTTTTCTCATGCCTGTTGGGAAGAGTTAGCATTAAAAAAGAAGGAAAAAGGCTTGGATACATGCAAATCATACTGAATGGTACCAAGTGTAGTAAAACGAGTAGCAGAGTCTCTTCTAAGTTACCTAAACCCACCGACAGTGTGAAGCCCCTCTGGGAACAGCTTCCTGGTGCAGTGCTGTTGAATGAACAGAGCCAAGGAGATGGCCAGAAGTCTGTTTGTACCCACAGAAAGCAAAGCCACAGAGTCACAGGGTGTAAAGCTGGTCAGGGCTTTGAACAGGTAGAAAGGGGCTCCCTGTTAGCCAAGGGAGTCACGGCTGGGCCATTGCACATGAGGGAGAGGAAGGTTTTCACCCTTTTCTGCCCTCCCCCAGGGTTTTAGGACCAAATGAATTGTGGTTCAAAAGCCAAAGTGCACATTCCAGTGCTGCTGCTCTGGGATGAGCCATTTCCTATCTAAGGTCACATTGAAACCATGTCTCTTAGGACCCCCCCCCCCAAACTACATTTTGGAAACAAAGCACTTCTGGTCCAAGTGGGCAAAGGCCACAGGTGAGTGACCTGCACCAGTGCAGTGGCACAGGCATGAACCAGCATTGTTTTCCTGTTATAAACCAGTCCTGTGCTCTCTCTTGTCAGGAATGACCTGAGATGAGCCCCGGCTCCAGAGCCTGCAGATCCCTCCCCAGGATGGATCAGATACTCCCAGCATTGCTCCAGGTACCACATTCAAAGCTCTGGATTTATTACAGCATCATGGGCGGTGGGAAACGGGGGTTTACATCTAAGTGCTGGGCAGGCACAATGTCAGCCTGGTGTAGGTAAGGCTGGAAGGTGAGTGGTGTCCAGGCACACGGTGGGATGGGGTTTAGGTCCGCACCAGGAAAGCCAAGCTCTCTCTTGGGCTGGCTCACAATGTCAGCATCCCCAGTTAACGTGGGATCAGACGGGGGTATCCCAACAGGTACGCTATTCCTCAGCCATTCCTGAAGTCAGGATTGGGAAGGATTTAAGGTTTCTCTTGACAGCAGTCCTCTTTGGGTGACTGCTGCCTGCCCGTCACACATGGGAGAGCAGCTGGGGTCTGGTTAGATCCAGTGCTAAGGAAAAGGGAGACCTCTGCAAAGTCTGGGCACTTTCTTCCCACCTTTTGTGCTCTTCTAAGAGCCTCATCTTACACCACCTTGGAGATGTGTTTTTGAGAGGTTAAAAAGCACAGCACATCCCTAATGTTTAAAAATACCTGGCCAGCTTCCCTAAAATACAAGTATTCAACATGATCACCTTTATGTGTTCTTTGAAATGAAAACCGAGTTGACATTCATGGTACAGGAGGAAGGCAGCAACGTGGACTCCCAAAGCTGTATGGATCAGCCTTCATCACCGAGGTCTCACTTGCAAGTCATCCTTGCTCAATGTGCCCATCCAAGAGCCACGGAGCCAGGCATCATGTCTGTGGTGTCGCAGCACCTCGCTCCGAGTTGGGGAGCTCCCCAGACTCGAGTGTTCTGTGTGTGTGCTGCAAGCCTGTGCTGTCAACCTCGTCTGGTCCAGCTCGCAGCTCCTCCTGACTGTCAGCCAGACCATCCTGGCTCTCCAAATCGCTTACCTGTCCCTCCCCAAACTCCAGGATGGTTGGTAAGTTCCCTTGCTTCGGGCATCGTCTCTTTAGGCTGACCAAGAAGGGTTGCGGCAAGGAGAAGATGTCCACGTTGTTGCCCAGGTCGATCCAGGTGACGCTGGGGAACTTCTTGGGATCCTTGAGGGCTTCGGTGAGGTCCCGTAGGATGGCTTTGGTGAGGCGGTTGCCGTTGAGGGAGAGGGTGGTGAGGTGGGGCAGCCCGCAGAGCGCGGGCAGCAGCTGCAGCAGCATGTCATCCGTCAGCTCCGTGAAGCACAGCTCCACCGTGTCGATGTGCTCCGAGCTGTGCTGCAGGTAGGACGTGACGCGCTCCAAGTCCCTCAGGGTCAGTGGGATGCCTGACAAGTCCACGGTGTTGTCCTGGGGCTTTCCCATCAGGACAGCTTTCAAGCTGGAGCAGTGGGAAGAAAAGGAGAGGCTGTTTAAATCAGTGATGACAAGGTGAAGAATAGAATGGTTTGGGTTGGAAAGGACCTTAAGTCATCCAGTTCCAACCCCCTGCCATGGGCAGGGACACCTCACACTAGAGCAGGTTGCCCAAGGCCTTGAACGTTAAGCATCCTTCATCTAAAGAGTCAGGCCCTCACTTTAACAGTGTCAGTTTTAAAGCTTATTTAACATAGGAAAATAGCTTTGAATTTGTAGGACCAAACAGCTCTGGTAGAAATAACTTACCTGGGCGGGGGATCCATAGAATCATGGAATGGTCTGGGTTGGAAAGGACCTTAAGTCATCCAGTTCCAACCCCCTGCCATGGGCAGGGACACCTCACACTAGACCATGTCACCCAAGGCTGTGTCCAACCTGGCCTTGAACACTGCCAGGGATCCATCCTCAGGCACACATTGGCAGCAGAACAAAAAGGCTTTAAAAAGTTAAACTACTGCTAGTTTTCTTTTGTTTAATCTTATAAGAGGCTTTTGTAGTTCTTATGGCAGTGCAAAAACTATCATTGAACGATCCGGTGCCAGGTTCCGGTGGGTAGAGCAATAAATCTGGACTCTCACTAAACTCTTCTGTGCCCTGGGGCCCCGTTGCATGGGCACTGCGATTCGTGGCAGTTCGTGGTTTGCTGGCTTAGCTGAAACCTCAAACGCACACCTCCACAGTAATTTAACAGGATCTATACTTATCCCTTTAGAAGGGCTCATTTAACCTGTATGTGGGCAGGAAGAGAGCTGTTAATGTGACGTGGTTCTCTCAAGTGGGGCTTTGGGGGGAAGAGAAACCAGTGAAATAGTATATTTGTTATTAAAAGAAATAAAGTGATGTTCATCTCTTGGCAGCTACTGCTCTCCCATCTGTACCACTGCATCATTGCTGGAACAGCCCCAGCAAGCGAGGTGTAGAGAAGCTTGAAGCCTCAGGGTGATGCCTCACTAATAACCTCTTCCCACCTATTAAAACTAAATTACTCTTGTCTTGCAGCATTTGAGCACCGAAGCTGGTTAGAGTGGGATCTCACTGTCAAATAAAGCACAGATTCCCTGCAAAGAAGTGAGAACCATTTAATAGCATGGCTAAAATAAGCATCTAGGGGTTGATCCTTGTTTTATCCAGCATGGAGTGATGCTGCCTGCCTGCCTTCATCTAACTGCTCGTGGGGCTTCTAGAGTGCCTTTAATTTAGCAAACCCATGAAGATAACAAAAGGGGAATGGGGATAACTTCAGGGCAGCTCTTTTGTTTTGAGCTGCTTTCAATATTGCTTCACATTTGTTGGTTTTTCCTTGGGGCGTGCAGGCAACTTCTGCCAGCAAGTAAAAGAGAATTCCTCACTAGGGCTCTATCCTGTTCCCCTTGGGAGGGATTTAGCTCATACCTACTGCAATGGATTGATTATCTTGTATAAATAGCCTTTCCCTCCTGATGCTGTGTAGTCTGTATCCAAGGCAGAGGAAATCTCTGGAATCACCAGGTTGGAGCAGCCCCTGTTCTCCTGCTGGGGGGTGGTTTGCTGTTCCGCAGCAGCCTACGCTCAGTCTGTCCTTTGGGAAACAAAGCAAGCAGTCCCAAACCTGATTTAATAGGAATAGTTGGGTGGATATTCCAAAGCTCCCCATGGAAGCGAGGGGGATATCTGCGAGCAAACAGCTGTATAAACTTTTAGCCCTGCCATAAGGTTTGCTGCAGAATGGCTCCAAAGCTCTGGAGGAAGAGCTCACCCCCAAAAAATCCCTATGAGCTCTAGTGGAGGATCAGTTACACCCACTAGGTTCCATCCTCCCATTTTATAAGGCTATTCCATAGGGGAAAACACATTTCTCTTCCCCATCTGGAAACACTCTCTGGGGTTTTGACCAGCATCATGAGAGGATTGGGTATACAATCATGCACTAACCTCCTGATAACGCTTTGGCAGGATGCTGATTTAGACACACTGATGTGAAAGCTGGTTTACAGGCAGTATTGACTCCGACCAGACCATGTTCCCATGAACAAGAACAGTGATGTTTAGATCAAAGAGCATTAAAAGAAAGGGATTTCCTCCTGATTTCATTGCTCTAAAGCACTGCACAGATCAGGACAGGAGTCGCCCATGTGTCGGGTAATAAAGCAGAATTGGGCTATTGAGCCACTTCCTTGGGGGTGGGGGCCAAGGAATAGCTCAAGAAGAAGGAAGAAGCAGCCCCATAGAGTGAAGAATTGCAGTAAGAGCTTTATAGCATCTCACTGGTGAGGAAGCTACTGAAAACGTCAGCAGAAAATGAGTGACCATAATGAATCATCAGGAAAAAAATGAGACAAAAGACTTGTCCTCTGATACTGCTGGTATCAAGAGAAGTACTCAAAAGCTTTTACAAAGTCCCTGCTCCTGCTTCAAATGACAGGCAAAAGACTGGGATAGTTCAGGAGTGGAGGCAAGGAACACAAATGCAGCAAATGCTGTTAGTAACAGTGGTGACAAAAGGGTTAAACTCCCCCAGCCTCAGAGGAGGAACACAGACAAGAAAATCTAATTATTTAGCTAAAATGAGGAATGTGGCTGAGCTGTATGTAATATATATCCTATATTCTGTATATATAAAATGTACATCTAATAGTAAGGATGAATAAAACAGAGAAGATGAGAATAGGCTGCTCTTTCTTTGTCTCTCTCAATGCACGAGCCAAGGGACACCCACTGATGCTCAAAGACTAAATCCCAGTGGATGAAAGGGAAGGAGCGTGTACACCGCGCTCGGCTGAACCCTCAGCTCCAGCCAGGGGATATCACCGAGATCAAGGGCTTTGTGGGAGGTCCAGAGCAGAACATCTAAAGTCATGTTAGGATTTAAAAGGAGAAAATGAAAGGAAATTGAGTCTGTGGCCTGGGGTGAGATAGTGGAAACTCTGTAATTCAAATAGGGCCCTTTCCCTTCATCACCAGGAGCCTGGGCAAGGGCTGGTGGCCATGAGACCTGGAAAGGCTGGTGCAAAGGCTGTGCCAGGAGGCTGGAAGCACATCAAAACATACCTGTATGTGCTGGGGATGTTGTTCTGTAGCTGCTCCTTATTTAAACTAGGGAGAGGCCCAGAGCAAAAAGGGCACAGAAAGGGCTGTATTTCCCCAGTTAAACGCAGCAAACGCCTATTACCAGGTTTGTGATGCTGCCTGGTTGGATACTTCCCTTTTTAACTCCTCTTTTGTGTTACAAAACCGAACACTCACCACAACATGAAAGATGAAACCCAAAAGCAACGCAGACAGAGCCCAGATCACGACTGGACTTACCAAAGCTCAGAGCCATGTCATTCCTACATGGGAACCCCACAGCTCACGCTCACCTTTTACTTCATCCTTAAGTTGATGCTCCAGCATGTGTGTGTCCTGTTGTGATTATTCAGGAGCTGGTTTAGTTCCCTGTTTCGTGCCACAGAAAGGGTTAGATGCTTATTAACGTGTAGTTTAAAGTCTCTGTTGTTCACAGCCTTTACAAAGGAATAGCCTGGAAAGAGTTCACTCCTCTACTTAGAGAGATTCAGGGTAAAGAGGATTTTTAAAGGTATAAATATAAAAAGATGTAATTTTAATACCCATTGCAAGCTTACTAATAAACACGTCTACAATTCATAAGTCTTTATGGTTACGAGGTCAAGTACCAGTGGGAATTAGTTATTTTGGGCTCCTCTCATGCCAAGAGCATTCCAGTCTTGCTGAGGTTTGCAGTTTTGATGTATAAAGTCTAGACATCCCCATTCCTAACTTCCTTTCCCTGCTCTCAGAAGTCCAACTCAGTGAGTACCTCGGCTCTGGGATGGTAGGAGGGCAGGTTGCTCAGCCCAGAACTCATCACCTGGGGCTTCACTCCTAATTTTAGCTCCATGCATGATATCAACTTCATTATGGCCATATATAAAATAACTGTGGCTTCTAGGAACACTCTATGGGAATCACATCCCCAGACAAGATCTCCTATTGCTATTGCAAGACCAGACCCCGGGCTATGTCTCAGCTCCAGCACAGCCTATTTGGAAGCATGTTGAGAGCACACCCAGAGGGAATGCTGACATGTTCCCTACCTGTTCTCCCTGCAGCAGGATCCCCATCATTGCAGGCAGCTGCTGGTGGCGTGTGATGCTCACAGCAGCCCTCTGCGTGCCCAAGCGCATGAGCTGCTCCAGGAATAGCTCTTTGTTTATATGTCTTCCCTTTCCAAATCCCACTGAATTTTCCTTGGCTCTACACCAAGCTACACAGGCCTGTTCCTCCTCGTCCCATAAAGCTCAGTAAGTGCACGGGGTATTTGATGGGAAGAGTAATTCCTGTGCACGCACAAGCATCTCCTGCGCCAGGATAACTGACATGGGTCTTGTGGCTTTGGCCACAGTGTGGTAACAGAAGGACCATTGGCATCAGAAAGATCTTGATCAATAAATCCTTCCCATCACAGTGAGATAAAGCCAGTTCCTATTTCTTCACTAAATTGACTCATTTCTTTATTAAATTACTCCAGACCTATGTAGTGTCTCCACAGACACATATTATGCTCTAAAACACAACCAAGGAAAAGCCTTTTTTAGCCCTGGATGATGCTGACCCTTTCCACCAGCCCCAACTCCTTCATCTCAACCCGTCTGATGAAGAGCCATCCACTAGAGAGCAGCGTCACCCAGCCCTTGGTGCCCAAAAGCCAGCACATCACCCCAAACCCACATCAGAAGGGTCACAGCCCATGAACTGTACCTTGCTGGTGAGTTCCCACCTTGCAGAGGATGGGGCAATCTCATCCCTGTTGTGGTGAAGGGATGAGATGTCATCATGTCATTAGATGTCCTACTTGTGGCACAGCCCTCTTCTGCTGGGTATTTCACATAGGCAGAGTTAGCCAAGGGCTGATGGTGGCTTTGGATAGCTGCAGTCAGACATTGAAGGCCCAGATCCAGCTCTAAACACCCTAATATTCCACAT